CAAAATAAAAAGAAATATTTTATAAAAAAACTAGCGTTATTCCTTACTTTCACAAAAGACCAAAAATAAACCTTTACATGTATTTTAGCAACTTCGTCAAAAAATTTTATAGCTTTATCTATCTCATCTACTCAAACGTTTCTTTACCTTTTCGTGTGGAGCACCCAAACATTTTCTCCAAACTTTCAAGTAAGTCTTTTCAGCAGCTTCTCATACTTAACAAAACACAACCTTGACTCTTTGACGTTACTTCATATCTTATATAATATTTTCCTATCTTTATACTCTTATGTATGAATCCTTCGTTTCTGAACGATGTTAAATAAGCCTTCACTGCTAACTTCCGAGTCGAATTAACATATGTATGAAAGTTATATCCAAAACAACTGGCAACCATTAACAAAAAACTATTGTATAAGACTTTGTCTATAAATAGCTGTATTCCATAGAATCTTACGATATCATAAAGCTCAGGATTCTTGTCAAAAATTTCTGAGTTAGAAAGCAATTCCAAACCTCAATGTATTATTTCTTTCCAAGATGGAAGAAAATGCTCGAAACAAAGGAATAGTTGTTGTATTTTTTAGAATATCTTTGACGTTTTAAATCAGCCGTATGTCTAACCCAATTTGGTGTCTTGTCATCTTTCGAACTGTTTCAAACTCAACCTTTGTCATTTTTCTGTTTCTTACATAACAAGATAAAAAAATTTTGTTTAAAAAAACGTAACGTATTTTTTTATTTGTTATATAAAGAATATGTATTTCAGGGATTTTTTTTACGAGTGTCCAAAAGTTCACTGGTAAAGTAAAAACAGAGTTTATATAATGAAATATGTCATTTTTTACGATTTCATGAGTTAGGCGACGTACGGGTTTTTTGTCCGTACTTCGCTGTTTTCCACGACTGTTCATGAGTTTTAGGCGGGAACCCTCGAAAAACCTAGGGTCGCTTTCTTCCACGAGTTTCATAATTGGGACTACGTTTTTGGTCCCACTCGCTGTTCTTCACTGTTTTCAGAAAAGAAGTCTGTCTCGCTGTTCTTCGCTGCAAAATTTCCTTGAGTGCCTTTGGTTTTGAACCAAATGTCTGTTAGTGTTTTGTTCTGGAACGAATGTAAAGAGTACCTTCACTGGCAACTGCATTACTAATAGTCTATTACATACCAACCCTTTAAATTTATTGCAAATTTACGATTTTCGTACGAATCTCTGGTTTTTCGAGGGTAGCAAACATATGAGGAAATTCATGAAATTTGGTCATTTTTTTACGATTTTCATGAGTTTTAGGCGAGTAAGATTTTGTCCCTACTCGCTGTTCTTCACTGTTTTCATGAGTTTTGGCGACCCCGAAAAAAGTCTGGGTCGCTGTTCTTCACGATTTTCATAGAGTTTTAGGCGACCCCGAAAAAAGTCTGGGTCGCTGTTCTTCACTGTTTTCATACGGAATCTCTACCCGCGGTTTTTCGAGGGTCGCAAACATATGAGGAAATTCATGAAATTTGGTCATTTTTTTCAGCAAAAATATATTTTAGGTGAAGAGGTTAGATCTAACCCGTTTTCTCACCCGTTTTCTCACCTCTTTTTTCACCTCATATGTCCTTACTGAAAAAGTATGTGTTCCATATGCCATTTTACTCAGAATTTTATACAGAATTCAATAAAAATATATTTTAGGTGAAGAGGTGAGATCTAACCTCTTTTCTCACCTGTTTTCTCACCTCTTTTTCCACCCGTTGAATTTTCATGAATTTCCTTAAGATAGAAGGAAATCGTCAGCAGTTGGATAGTTTTTAGGTGCTACCATGTTACCATGTGCTACCAGGTAATTTAACTTCTCTGAAAAAATGAGACAACATGACATTTAGACAACAACACAGGAAATAAACTTCATCGTATATGTTTTGTCAAGACTTCTTCATCGCAATGAGCGTAAATGACCCAAAAATATATTTTAGGTGAAGAGGTGAGATCTAACCTCTTTTCTCACCTCTTTTTTCACCTCTTTTTTTTATAAGCGTTTTACATGAATTGTACGATGTATATTTGAAATTCTAAACAATTTTGTGGCTTCGATTTCCTCTGTCAGTATGTCAAAAGTTTTCACAATGCCGAATGTTTCTTTATATTTCTTCTTGACATCTGAAAGAAGGAAATCGTCAGCTGTTGGATAGTTTTTGTTTAGAAATGCTAACATGTCCATTTTGTTTTCTGCTGGTTTCTCTGCTTCTTTCTTTAAGTCAGCATAGTCGTTTCGCATACGTTCTATCTCTTTGACGGAGTAGTTATATTTCCTCATTGCTGCTTTACATTTAGAACATTGTGGGTTCATTTTAGCATTGTACATTGAAATTTGTCCTGCAAGTACAACTATAGCGTCAATGGTCCTCTTAAATTCAAAAGTTGCTGGTTTTATCTGTTCGTTCCATACTTTACCTCTTCTATCTTTATCTCTTATCTGCCATACACATTTTGCAACTAACGAAACAAAGTTGTCGTAGGTCTTAAATTCTTCAGATTTATATATGTCAGAAACATTCTTATATACCATATCGCAGTCTTTGTCCATGACTTTGTGGTTGCAATGAAATCCAAGAAACTCATAGTTAACCTTACGTATGAACTTCTTTATTTCTACCGAGTCGGTTGTTTTTACTTCTATTTCATCGAATTCTGGAATAGTAAGCTTTTGTTGTTGTATTTCAGGAAGTTTGGGTAAATGTTCCACCAGGTCCTCCATTTCATAAAGATATTGTTCATTTGTTTCATCTTTTGCAGTGCAATCTAAATCTCCTTGGAGAAGTTCTTGCTTTATCTTCTGGATTTCTGTCTCAAAAGTATATGAAGAAGGAATGAAGCTTTTCATTTCTACTAACATTGAAGTTGGGTTCATAACTAAAGAGTTTGGTGAAGTTGTTGCTAACATGTTCTTACAATAAAAATAAAAAAATATTTTTTTAAAAATACTAACTCACTTTTTTTCTATCTTAAGGAAATTCATGAAAATTCAACGGGTGAAAAATTAGGTGAGAAAAACGGGTGAGATCTAACCATCTACCCTAAAATATATTTTTGGTTCATTTACACTCGTTACGATGAAGAAGTCTTGACATTTTCCCGACTGTTGTCAAAATGTCATGTTGTCTCATTTTTTAAAAGAAGTTAGTTTACCTGGTGACATGGTGACCCCTTCAGTAAACATCTCATTTTAACTCACTTTTTTTCTATCTTAAGGAAATTCATGAAAATTCAAGAGGGTGAAAAAACAGGTGAGAAAACGGGTGAAAAAAGAGGTGAAAAAAGAGGTGAGATCTAACCTCTTCACCTAAAATATATTTTTGGTTCATTTACACTCGTTACGATGAAGAAGTCTTGACATTTTCCCGACTGTTGTCAAAATGTCATGTTGTCTCATTTTTTAAAAGAAGTTAGTTTACCTGGTGACACATGGTTACCCGGTAACATGGTGACCCCTTCAGTAAACATCTCATTTTAACTCACTTTTTTTCTATCTTAAGGAAATTCATGAAAATTCAAGAGGGTGAAAAAACGGGTGAGAAAACGGGTGAGATCTAACCTCTTCACCTAAAATATATTTTTTTCTATCTTAAGGAAATTCATGAAAATTCAACGGGTGAAAAATTAGGTGAAGCCAAAAGTGGCTCGACCTCAAAACAAGCATTTTGTGAAGAATATAGCAACCGCCAGAATTCTGGCGGTTGGTTTTTATACAAAATTCAACGGGTGAAAAAAGAGGTGAGAAAAGAGGTGAGATCTCACCACTTCACCTAAAATATATTTTTGCTGAAAAAAATGACCAAATTTCATTATATAACTGTTATGAGTGACGAAGTGAACTTTGACACTTCGTAAAAAAAATCCCTGAAATCATATCTTTTATACAAAACATATACGATGAAGTTTATTTCCTGGACTGTTGTCAAAATGTCATGTTGTCAGTAATTTTAAGAGAAGTTAAATTACCTGGTGACCTGGTGACCCTCATTTCTACCCTCATGAAAATTCAACGGGTGAAAAAAGAGGTGAGAAAAGAGGTGAGAAAAGAGGTGAGATCTAACATGCTAACATAAACTCACTTTTTCAGCACTTTTCCGTAGTTATATATGAAAGACAATTCGAGATAAAAGTCATAGTACAATGGAACAATATGTTGCACACCATTTGTTGTGAACCAAACTTGAAAGTCAGAGAAACTGTTACTAGGTGGTTCGTAGAATTTAGAAGCAAAGTCATAAAAGTCCTTGCCAATACATAGAAAACTATTGTTGCTTGAACTGAAACTTGCATGGCACATAACATTTTGAGGGTCAAACACGTTTCTATAAACTGTCAAATCTGCTGGTGGAAGTATAAATTTAAATGGACCATCTGGTGGTAATGGTTCGTTCTGGTTTAGTAACCGAAGAAATTGTGCCCAAGAACGTTTGTCTACTCCCCAAAATAAAAACTCTGTATCTCTTGGAGGGTTAATTTCAATCTTTTGAAATGAAACGGTGGAGTTCATCTTGTCATATTCTAGTTTCAGATAGTATGTTCCATTTAGTAAAGAGTCGTATTTTTCTTGAAATTCCCAATAATATTTGTTCATTTGAGTTTGAAAGTCATTTAGAGTTTTCTCAAGACTTTCGTCTGAACGAACTGTAAAGATTCTCATTTCGTCAAATTTGTCTATTAGACCATCAGAACCTTTATACTGCCCATGAAAATATACTGCGAACATAAATGCGTTAGTTCTATTTGAAAACAAAACTCTTCTAAATCCTATTGCCTTTGCATCTGAAGGACTTTGAAGCCAACGAATTGGATAGTCAAACCTGTATGCTCGGATGAAATTTCTTCATCTGAAATAGTCCTACCAGCATTTGTAAAGATATAGTCTAACGGTTTTGTATCTGTTACTTTTGTTCCAACCTGAAGCATTTAATATATGTAAAAATATATTGTTTTAAAATGGTATGCCATTTCATATTTCTCATCTAACAAACAAGTTTCCCAACGGTCCAGCATGTTGTCTGACTGCTTGAGGGTTAGGTTGGTACCATTCGAACTTGACACTTGCAATTCCTTCAATTGCATTCAAAATGTCTGAGTCGGAGTCAACCATTTGTTCTCTCTTTGTAGTCTTGAAAGCGTCAAGAAGCATTGCAGCTGTTTGTTCATTGCCATGTGCATAGTAAATGTGACCATCCAAATCTGTTATGGTCAATCTGAGATTGTGTCCTTTCTTATTTCCGTCTTGTATGGCAGCAAGTACACCATGAAGCCTTCTTTGTTCTTTCCTTCGTCAAAGTTTACTGTAAAGGTTCGACCAGAAGTAATTTGACTTCTAACTTCACGGTACTTCTCATATGCATATCTTGTTCTTTCCATGGGAGCATGTGTGTCTTCACCTTTTCCTTTTTTCCTTCTCAAAGGATGCAATTGTTCGTCATGTTTCCAGTAGAATCTGGCAAAGCCGTCGTGTCCTTCAACTTGAGGTTCACTAACATCGAAAGGCATGTCCATAAGACGTTCTTCTTCTAACCTCTCTAGTCTGTTTGGATAATTTGCACGTGCTGTTTCCAAATCCATTTCGTAGCGAAGACCAGACAATTTGTCATAGACTTTTATGGGTCTTCCCTTCCTATATTTAAAATTCTTCGAAACTCTCCAACCATATCTTTGCAACTCTGCTTTTATTCTAGCAGACTTTCTATCCATTCTATATGGGGGCATTTTTATAAAAATAAAAAAATATTTTTTCTCTTTACTTTACATAACCGCCTGCTGCCATAAGTCTTTGACGCCAACCCATACCAGCTAATGAAGGTTGACTTGGTTTAGTTTGGAAACTAAACTTTGGTTTTGGTTTATCTTCAGTTTTTGGTTTTTCTTCTTCTATCGGTTTTTCGTCACTTTTCGGTTCCTCTGACTTTACTTCACTTGCAGGAACAGTTGTGTCGTCAACATCTTCATAAATATCATATGCCATTTGTTTTTGTTTTCCTTTCAACTTTTTGTGTTTGTTGTAAAGTTTAGAATATTTCGACTCTAAGTCAATGAGATGTTCTATAATGAACTGTTGGTCAGTGAAGTAAACTTTTCCATCTGTTGTCTCGAAAGCTCCTTCAGACTTCAATATTTTATTTGTGAGAGTCTGTTTTTTTTTGAGATACTAGCCGTTCCATTTTTATGAAAAGTGACTTTGTAGTTAGAGTTTGTATTTCCAGACCTGGCACTTTCTATTATTGAATTTTTCTCTTCATCTGTAAGTTCTTTGACAGGTTTTGACAATGGTTCTGAACTTTTTGTTTGTGGTGTCAAATCTACCGTTTCAACTTCTTCGGTCATTTCATCTCAGAAAAATTTTAGTTTGGTTTGTTTTCAACTGGTTGTTTAGGTTTTTTAAGTCGGTCTAAAACTTCCTGAGGTATAGGAAGAACTTGACAAACACGTTGTGTAACTGCTGGAAGCCGACAAATCCATCTTGAACCCATTTGTCTCAATGCTGTATTGTTCATTTCATCTCAGTAAAAAACTTTACATTCCCCACGTTTGAGGCGGTTGAGGTTGGTTATTGTTTACCCACTGTTGTGCATGGTTATATCCTCTGTTAAAGAATCTTTCACCTTGGTCCATATAGTGTCCTGCTTGGTTATAGTAGTCATTTGCTTTGTTATAATAGTTTCCTGCTTGTCTTCCTACATTGTCCATCCATCCTTGAACTTTTCCTCTTGTTTCAGGATTTGGAATAAGATTTGTTGCATCTCGTGCTACATCCCAACCTTTCTGTACAGTTTGTATAATAGGTTGTGCTTTCTCTTTAAGTATACCTAATGTACTCAAAATCTTCCTTCCAACTCCAAATACACCTCTGGCTATTGTTCCCACTGCGGGCAAAAATCTAGATGCGACTCCTGCTAATGCGCCAAATAAACCCATTTCTTATGGGTTAAAAAATGACGAATTCAAACAAGGACCCCTATGTTTCTAAGGCAACAAAGAAAGCACTCATGGTAAAAATCTTTAGTTCAACACCAAATGCTTGGTTTATGGATATCTTGGAAAACATTCCGAGAGTTAGAACAGATGGACCTCCATACTGGCTAATATTTGTCGGTCAAAACACAAGATACTGTGAAGCCATACCATTATGGTCCAAAAATATTTTAGATGTGAAAAACTGCTTTGACAATATTCGTTGACAAATACCATCCAACAAAACTGACATCTGACTGTGAAAGTTCTTTCAAATCAGACGATATTAAAAACTATCTGCGTTCAAAAAATGTAAACCAATATTTCATTGTCGACCAAAACCATTCTGCTCTTGGTGTCATTGACGGTTGTATAAAAATGTTAAGAGACTTAAACCAACCACAAGGTGGTGAAGCAAATGAAATGTCATATGACGACAAGTATAGACACTTCTCCATGGCAAAGATGAGACAAGTTTTAAATATTTACAATAACCGTAAACAAAAAGGTTTGGAAACCACTCCCCCGAAGAAATGAAAAACAACCCTGACTTAGAGAAAGACTATATATTTAATAATTTAGTCAAAAGAGACAAACAAGAAAGAATGCCGGGCTTCAAACTTCAGAAAGGTGACAAAGTAAAAATAGAAATACCTAAACGCGACCCATATGAAAATACTATTGACTATGACAACAATGGGAACCGACAGGTACTCACGTTCGTGTTCGTAAAAATAGAAGAAAGTATACAAGAGAATATTATGAAGTTTTAGGCAAACATGGCAAAATGTACAGACTGCAAGCAGAAGATAAAACTACTATTGTCAGACCTCGTTTCAAACTTGTCAAAGTTCAAGGTGGTATACTTTCAAAGACAGTTCCTAACAAATATAAGACAACTCCTGACGAATATGCTAAAGAAGTGGAACATGACGACTAAGCATTTCTATACCATGCGTAAACTGTCATGTAAGGTGGCATGTATTCTTTACTTTGTCCCGTGTTTGCGTATATCCTGAAACGCGATGTGTATGGTTTCCTCCTCCCTCAGTGTTACTCCAGTAACAATTTATAGCAAACTTAACGTTGTCTTTAACATCATATCCTTTACCTTTTGTCATTGCTGACCAATCCCAATATCTATGCTTATGCCAACCTGCTTGAGATGTACTTAAATCTATGTAGTGACTGTGTGCAGGTAAATTTTCACCTGAAATCGTTTTACTTCCACCTGTTTCCTTTGAAGAGTTTGCACAATACAAAAACCTGTCGACTATTTGAGTCCAAGTTCCAAAACCCAGAACTGTTTCTGGTCTGGTAGAGTTCATTGACGTATAAATAGAGCCTATAGGATATAATGTTTGAAGTATTTCTGTCTTTAATGTTTGAAGCTCTGTTTTGTCTGCTTTCTTGTCATATAAATCTTGAGCAGTGAATTTAATATTATGTTCATCCTTCATGACATAAACATCTTTACATCTAATGTTTCTCATCGTCGTTATGTCGTCATCCGATTGTTAAACCTTGTGGAAAGTTAGGAGGTTTCCAATATAATACATCCCCATCAGGTTCTTCAACCGTTCCTTCAATATTTTCTATACCAACAGTTGTGAAGAAATCATGTGTATGGTTCTTATCTGCTTTCTTTTCAAGGCTAACGTTTAAGTCTGTTATTTCAGAAGATGTATGTGTATGTCCAACGTCACTTTTCCTGTTTAAGGTTTCTTGTAAGTTTGTAATATTTGCAATGGTATGTGTATGTCCAACGGCACTTTTCCTGTTTAAGGTTTCTTGTAAGTTTGTAATATTTGCAATGGTATGTGTATGTCCAACGGCACTTTTTCCTGTTTAAGGTTTCTTGTAGTTTGTAATATCAGATATAGAATGTATATGAGTCTTTTTAGAATATTCGTTTTCAGCTCTTGTCACTTCACTTGACATTTTATTGTCAACATATGTTTTGTCTGCTAGTTCAGGATGAGTATGTTCTTTTGTTGCATAAGCATTGTTAGCTCTTTCTTCTTCTTTTGCTATATGCATCGTCTACATATGTTTTGTCTGCTTTGTTTGTCAACATCTGCTTTCAAAAGAAGTTCATTTATAGCGTTTCTCCGTTTAAAGTTCCTTTTGTTGATTTATACAGACAGTATGGTTCTTTATTGTCTTGAAACAGAAACTCATCTGTCATTGGGTTTAATGTCAGTTTTAAGTTTCCTTCTTTCAATGACTCAGATATCTTAGAATAGTTTGAAAAGTTTGTTGTGTTCTTATTTAGAGCTTGTATAATGAGTTGTCGGTTGTGTTGTATTTCTCTCATAGACGCTGTTTCATTTGACATTTTTATTCTAGATAAAATATGCTTTCAATAGAAAAAGAAAATTCTAGAGTTGCTACAACTAAACCATTAGATGAACTTTTTACCAATGTAGGTCAAAAGTTTGAGACAGAGACCGTAAAGCATGAAGGCTATCGTTTTGACTACCCGTTAAGATGGTTAAGAGACCCATCCGTCACAAAAGCTATTGGCTTTCGTAGAATGAAGTTCATTTCAGAAGCCATACATGGTTTCCCATTTACGGTCGGTTTTGAAGTTCGATACTATAACAAAGAAAAACGTATGTATGAGAAATTTGAACAGGGAAAACTTTTACAAGTGAATTTGCTTGTAACTTAGAAACAACTCTTCAAGCTTTTCAA